TAACTGTCTAGCGAGGCACCACTGTACTCTGAATTTTGGAACAGATTAGCTGGAATGTCTCCTTGAAGGCTGCAGGGCGGGTTGGCTCCTATCTGTATGACTTAGGGGGTATAGTGCAGGTTGGAAGGATTCTACACAACTCTGCTTAGCACCATGCCTTCTAGTTCCACACCCTTTTTCTTAGCACTGGTTTGGAAATTACCACACTCCCCCTACAAGTTATCAAAAAGCCTTTTTGTGCAGCAGCCTTGAGTGTGAAAACAGTTTAATGTTTAAGTGCTCTTACCTCTTATTAGATCTACTCACACACATACTTACCATTGGCACTACCACCACACCGCCATGTTTACACTAGAAATAGCTTTCAAATCTGTCAATGTGACTGGGTGAGATGTGTGATAAAAATATTTAAACGTTACTGCTAGAGCATCCCAGGCCACGACAGACACACATTTTTGAGCACTTGCATTATCAGGCAGTAATGGCTAAACTAATCTATGATTAAAAATCAAAATACTTTTGCAGAAACAAAAACACTAAAACCACAATCCACAAAAAACCAAAACCCTAATGAATTTGATAATAGCTTTTCAAAAGTTTTCTACAAAATCACAAATCAGTAAGATGGATCTTTTTAGCAATACTCCATACTCTTTTCTTACTTTAACTGTCCATTCTCTTCTGACGATGCGTAAATGTTTTCCATTTCTTCTGTGTTCAAGCCCAGCTCAGAGCCATAGCTTTGCTGTACAAGTTGCCAGAATTCCTGCTTAGTCAGTTTCTGGAAAAAGAAAAACAAAGAATCAAGTACACTTGGACAGAAAGTTAGACACTTGAAACAAATATGTTTTGTTCAAATCCTCTCATCAACTTAAAAGGCCCCTACTGAGCATTAGTACTAGCAATCTATGTTTCATAATATGCAAATGATATTTCTTAGCAAGAAAAACTTGAAACACTTCTTTTATGCAAATCTTTCAGTCCTCATAAGTAATCAGTACAAACATATTGTTACAGCTGAGATAATTTTTAACATCACCTTTAAAATTGTAAACTGCCAGGACTACTCCTTGCAGCCACTGTGATCTAAGACCATTACAGTCCCCTATAGTGCCTCTCACCCAAATCCTGAAATTAAGCATGCTGGGGGGGGGGCCTTTTCCAAGCATCAAGTTACCTCTTTGCTGTCAAGTAGAATTTGTTCTTTGTAAAAGGCCAGGACTTTTACATGCAAATCTCTGTTGGTGTGGAGAGCAACAGGAACTTTCTTCCTTGCCAATATTTTTAACAGGGTCTTGACTGTGAACAATTACATGTGTTATATAAAACACCCAATATACTTCTCCCATACCCATTTGGTGGTAATATTTGAAGGGAGGGGAGGAAATGCTACTAAACGTGCAGTTAACATGTGTCATAGTGCAACGATTAACCAAGATCCCAGCTGAATCTCCAGCCTGCAGCTGTTTACAGCAGCATGTCCATAGCAAACAGAGTTGTATAGTTTACATCATGTCCCTGATGCAGGTTCTGATTAACCATTAAGCAAGATTAGCATGTGCTTAGGGCGGGGGTGGGCAATTAAGTTTAGCAAGCTTTGAGTTTAGCAAGCTTTGTTTTGGTAACTGGAAAGTAAATGCAGCCTTTGCTTGCAAGTCTGATTGTTGTGGAAAACATCAGCGAAAAAATATCACCTTGGAAATGAAAATAGGTTGACTGGAGGAAATACTACATATTTCCCGTAATATCCACACTGACTCTCAGTGTTTCAATTTCTCCCCTACGTGAAAC